TATGGGGTTAGGCAATAATCCAGTTTCATTCTCTTACATGTAGCTGTCCAGTTTTGCCAACACCAGCTGTTGAAGAGGCTGTCATTTCCCCATTGTATGTCCATTGCTCCTTTATCATATATTAATTGACCATATATGGTTGGGTTAATATCAGGGCTCTCTAGTCTGTTCCACTGGTCTATGGGTCTATTCTTGTGCCAGTACCAAATTGTCTTGATTACTGTGGCTTTGTAGTAGAGCTTGAAGTTGGGGAGCATAATTCTCCCCTTTTTATTCTTCCTTCTCAGGATTGCTTTGGCTATTCAGGGTCTTGTGCTTCCATATGAGTTTTAGAATGATTTTCTCTAGTTCATTGAAGAATGCTCGTACCATTTTGATAGGAATTGCATTGCATCTTTGATTGCTTTAGGCAGGATAGCCATTTTGACAATATTAATTCTTACTGTCCATGAGCATGGGGTGTGTTTCCATTTATTGGTATCTTCTTTTATTTCTCTTGTGAGTGTCTTGTAGTTTTCTGAGTATAAGTCTTTCTCTTCCTTGCTTAGGTTTATTCCTAGGTATTTTATTCTTTTTGATGCAATTGTGAATGGAATTGTTTTCCTGATTTCTCTTTCTGTTAGTTCATTGTTAATGTATAGGAATGCAACATATTTCTGTGTATTATTATTGTATCCTGCAACTTTACCGAATTCAGGTTTTAGATGTTGTAGTTTTGGTGTGGATTCTTTAGGGTTTTTTATGTACAATATCATGTCATCTGCAAACAGGGACAGTTTAACTTCTTCCTTGCAAATCTGGATGCCTTTTATTTCTTTGTGTTGTCTGATTGCCATGTCTAAGACCTCCACTACTATGTTTAATAGAAGTGGGGAGAGTGGGCATCCTTGAGTTGTTCCCTGTCATAAAAGAAAAGCTTTTAGCTTCTTGCTGTTAAGTGTAATGTTGGCTGTTTATTATGTTGAGGTACTTTCCCTCTATACCCATTTTGTTGAGAGTTTTTATCTTCAGCAGATGTTAAATTTTATCAAATGCTTTTTCAGCATCTATGGTGATGATCATGTGGTTTTTGTCCTTTTTGTTCATATGGTGGATGATGTTAATGCATTTTCGAATGTTGTACCATCCTTGCATCCCTGGAATAAATCCTACTTGATCATGTTGGATGATCTCTTTGATATATTTTTGAATTCAGTTTGCTAATATTTGGTTGTATATTTTTTCATCTATGTTAATCAAGGATATTGTTCCATAATTTTTTTTGTGTGTTGTCTTTGCCTGGTTTTGGTATTAGAGTGATGCTTACCTCATAGAATGAGTTTGGACGTATTCCCTCTTCTTCTACTCTTTGGAAAACTTTAAGGAGAATGGGTATTAGGTCTTCACTAAATGTTTAATAAAATTCAGCAGTGTAGCCATCTGCTCCAGGGGTTTTGTTCTTAGGTAGGTTTTTGATTACCAGTTCAATTTCATTGCTGGTAATTGGTCTGTTCAGATTTTCTGTTTCTTTCTGGGTCAGCCTTGGAAAGTTGTATTTTTCTAGAAAGTTGTCCATTTCTTCCAAGTTATCCAGTTTTATAGCATATAATTTTTCATAGTATTCTTTAATAATTCTTTGTATTTCTGTGGTGTCCATAGTGATTTTTCCTTTCTTGTTTTTGATTCTGTTTATGTGTGTAGACTCTCTTTTTGTCTTGATAAGTCTGGCTAGGGGTTTTTCTATTTTGTCTATTTTCTCGAAGAACCAGCTCTTGCTTTCACTGATTCTTTCTATTGTTTTATTATTCTCAATTTTATTTATTTCTGCTCTAATCTTTATTATGTCCCTCCTTCTACTGACTTTGGGCCTCATTTTTTCTTCTTTATCTAGTTTCATTAATTGTGAGTTTAGACTGCTCATATGAGATTGCTCTTCTTTCCTGAGGTAGGTCTGTATTGCAATATACTTGCCTCTTAGCATGGCCTTGGCTGCATCCCACAGATTTTGCAGTGTTGAATTATTGTTGTCATTTGTCTCCATATATTGCTTGATCTCTGTTTTTATTTGGTCATTGATCCATTGGTAATTTAGGAGCATGTTGTGAAGCCTCCATGTGTTTGTAGGATTTTTCATTTTCTTTGCATAATTTATTTCTAGTTTCATACCTTTGTGATACGAGAAACTGGTTAGTACAATTTCAATCTTTTTGAATTTACCAAGGCTCTTTCTATGGCCTAGTATATGATCTATTCTTGAAAATGTTCCATGTGCACTTGAGAACAATGTGTATTCTACTGCTTTTGGATGTAAAGTTCTGTGGATGTCTGTTGGGTCCATCTGTTCTAATATGTTGTTCAGTGCCACTGTCTCATTACTTATTTTATGTCTGGTTGAATCTGCCCTACAAAGTGAGTGGTGTGTTGAAGTCTCCTAGAATGAATGCATTCCATTCTATTTCCCCTTTTAATTCTGTTAGTATTTTTTTCACATATGTAGGAGCTCCTATGTTGGGTGCACAGATATTTATAATGGTTATATTCTCTTGTTGGACTGACATCATTATGTAATGTCCTTCTTTGTCTCTTGTGACTTTCTTTGTTTTGAAGTATATTTTGTCTGATACAAGTACAGCAACACCTGCTTTTTGCTCCCTATTAGTTGCATGGAATATCTTTTTACATCCCTTCACTTTTAGTCTGTGTATTTTAGGTTTGACGTGAGTGTCTTGTAGGCAGCATATAGATGGGTGTTGTTTTTTATCCATTCAGTGACTCTGTGTCTTTTGATTGGTGCATTTAGACCATTTACATTTAGGGTGATTATTGACAGGTATGTACTTATTGCTATTGAAGGCTTTAGATTCGTGGTTACCAAAGGTTCAAGGTTAACTTCATTACTATCTAAGAGTCTAACTTAACTCACTTAACATGCTATTACAAACACAATCTAAAGGTTCTTTTTTTTCCCTCCTTTTTCTTCCTCCTCCATTCTTTACATATTAGGTATCATATTCTGTACTCTTTGTCTTTCCCTTGATTGACTTTTGGGATAGTTGACTTTGTTTTGCATTTCCTTAGTAATTAACTGTTCTACTTTCTTTACTGTGATTTTATTACTTCTAGTGACAGCTGTTAAACCTTAAGAACACTTCCATCTATAGCAGTCCTTCCAACATAGACTGTAGAGATGCTTTGTGGGAGGTAAATTCTCTCAGCATTTGCTCATCTGGAAATTGTTTAATCCCTCCTTCAAATTTAAATGAGAATCTTGCTGGTAAATTATTCTTGGTTTGAGGCCCTTCTGCTTCATTGCATTAAATATATCATGCCACTCCCTTCTGGCCTGTAGGGTTTCTGCTGAGAAGTCTGATGATAGCCTGATGGTCTTTCCTTTGTATGTGATCTTATTTCTCTCTCTGGATGCTTTTAATAGTCTGTCCTTATCCTTGATCTTTGCCATTTTAGTTACTATATTTCTTGGTGTTTTCTTCCTTGGGTCCATTGTGTTGGGAGATCTATGCATCTCCATGGCCTGAGAGACTATCTCCTTCCCCATATTTGGGAAGTTTTCAGCAATTACTTCCTCAAAGGCACTTTCTATCCCTTTTTCTCTCTCTTCTTCTTCTGGTACCCCTATAATGTAAATATTGTTCTGTTTTGATTGGTCACACAGTTCTCTCAATATTCTTTCATTCTTAGAGATCCTTTTTTTCTCTCTGTGTCTCAGTTTGTTCATATTCCTCTTTTCTAATTTCTGTCTCTTTAATTGTCTCCTCCACCATATCTAATTTGCTTTTAGTACCCTCCATTGCAGTCTTCAACAATTGGATCTTCAATCAGAGTTCATTCCTGAGTTCCTTTTTTTACCTCCTTTGACATATTAATGATTTTATTTTTAAATCCCTTTCAGGAAGTTTCATGAGGTCAATTTCATTTGAATCTCTCTCAGGTGTATTAATAATTTTACTTTGAACCAGGTTTCTTTGGTGTTTCATATTTGTATATGGCACCCTCTAGTATCCAGAGGCTCTAGTCTCTGGAGCTGCTCAGCCCCTGAAGCAATGTCGGGGGTTTCAGGGAATGGTACCTGTGCCTGGAGGGAGGAAAGAGCTCTTTCTTGCTTCCCGGCTGCTATGCCTGCCTCCACTTCTGTAACCAGTAGACCGAGCACACAGGTATAAGTCTCTATGCTTTGTGTTTGTAGTTGCTGTTGATGGGACTTCCCTCTGGCTGGCCTAACACCAGGGTCAGGTTTGCCAGTTTGATATCCAGGTGGGGCTGGCCAGGAGAAAGGTGCAGTAGGCTGCATATCACAGAGGGGGTCCTTTTAGTTGTGTAGCCATCCAGGGAGCTGGAGTGCCTGAAGGCTGAGAAAGTTCCAACCTGCTGGGCAGAGTGCACCCAGACAGTTTTGTCTACCTGTCCTTTCTTCTGAGCAGTAAACTCTGTGTAATCCTTGCCCCTTTAGCAGCTCTCTTGCTGTTAGGAAGTCTCTCAGACTTCCCACCTTTCTTTTGTCCCAGAGCAGCCAGATATGGATCTCTGCTTTCCACAAGTGGCTGGAATCTCAGTCTCTCCAGGTATTCTGCCTGTCTTAACTTTACAACCCCCAAATCACAAGAATACCATGAACGCACCATGAGATGTAGGTTTGTGCTCCCAGAGCAGATCTCTGGAGTTAGGTATTTAGCAGCACCAGGCCTCCACTCTCTCCCCACTCCATTTGTCTTCCTCCTACCAGTGAGGTCCCACCAGGCCACGGATTTGGTATGTTACCCTGTTCTGTAAGTTTATTCTTTTCTCCAGGTGTATGTAGTTTGGCACAGCCCTCTTTCTTGTTGCTTTTTGAGAATTAGTCATATTAATTATATTTTCACATTATATGCGGTTTTAGGAGGAAGCTTCTGTCTTACCTCTCACGCCACCATCTTTAATCCTCTCTCTCCACTCCTTTATCTCTTGCATATTTCTCTGCAGCTCCACCAGCATGGTTATAACTTTTATTTTGAATTCTTTTTCAGGAAGATTTGTTATATCTGTCTCACCAGGCCCTGTCTCTGGTGTTTGAGTGATTTTAGACTGGACCAGGTTCTTCTGCGTTTTTGTGGTGATAACATGATTGCCGGTGAGTGGTGGGTGTGTCCACTGGGAGAATAAAGTCCCTTCCTGCTTGCTGGTCTCCTTGCCCTTCTCCACTGCCTATGCTAGTTAACTGCACACAGGGAGCAGTCTCTGGGTTAATCCCCTGAGTTGCCATGGGTGGGGCAGTCTTCGAGTCCTCAGTATAGCCTAGAGCACTGGCAGGGGTCCCAGATGAGCGGCTTGTGTTCTCCTGCCAGAACAGCACCCCTTCGTGCCTTCTGGAATTTGCGCTGGCTTCCTCTGACTGTGCTGGGCCGCTGCACTTAGGCAGCAGCCTCTGGGTCTGGCCTGGTTAGCTGCATGCTGGCGGAAGCCTCTGTGTGGTTGCTGCAGGCAGGGCTGCTACCCAGCAGGTCCGCAGCAATGGCGGGTTAGCTGGTTTGCTTGCAGTGCCAGCCGGGATAATGACTGGCAGTCTGCTTATCGCCATGAGGGGTTTCAGAACTGTGTTGTCACCCAGGGGGTTAGGGTGCCTGAAGTTGCTTAAAATTCCCAGCATGCTGGGTTAAGTGTGGCAGGACGATTTTTTCCACCTGTTAAACCCTTGTCCCTTTAAGAGTTTTAAAGCACCCACTTTTCTTTTGTCCCAGGGGAGCTGGCTGTGGAGACCAGCTCTCAGTCTCTGTCTCGGATTTTACTTTTCCGTTTCTCTAATAACCAGTACACCATGCTGTGTGTGTCTGTGCTCTCAGTGCAGATCACTAGGGCTGGTTATTTAGCAGTCCTGTGCTTCCACTCCCTCCCCACTCCGATTCTTTTCCTCCTGCCCCCGCTGGTGAGCTGGGGTCAGGGGAGTGTTTGGGTCCTACTGGGTCACGACTTTGTATCTTACCCTTTCGTGAGATGCTGAGTTCTCGCAGATGTAGATGTAGCCTGGCTGTTGTACTTTATCTTCTGGTCTCTCTTCTAGGAATAGTTGTTTTTGCTGTATTTTCAAAATACGTGTGGTTTTGGGAGGAGATTTCCGCCACCTTACTCACACCGCCATTTTCACAAGCAGAGCCCATACATGCTATTTTAAACAATAAATATTGAGTGTAATTTCACTTTAACAGAAAAGGAAGTAAAAAACTGTACTTTAACCAAAAAAAACCCCAGAAAATAATCAAAGGAATTTCTGAATTTCAGAATCCTCACCATGAAAAAGTAACAGTTTCTAAAATAAATCTGCTGAAATTAAGGGGCTAAGGAAAAGCATTTATAGGTAGCAGCTATTTTGAAATGTGTTTTAACTTTAGATGGTATCTACTATAACTCCTTGTTATGATAAGGAAATTAAACATCCTTCCATTTTCTCTTCCCTTATTTCTCCCAAATAAATCTTCCCAGATTTATTTCTCTATAAATCCTGAGTTTGCCAGTTTTATGCTGTTGAGATTCACATTTTGTTCTGAAGTCACAGTTTCTCCGTACTGCAGTCTTAGGTCTTTGTGTGAAGTTATCCCTTTTACCCATCTTTCCACCGTGGCTTCTCCCTCCCTTAACTGTTAATTTTATTTCATGTCTTGGTTGCTAGACTTCATTTTCAATTAGGGCTCTCAGGAATGTCTCTTCCCTTCAAACTTGAAGGGCAACTTGGCAAAATCTGAAGTAGGTGGCAGTGCCCCTGGATGAGATCAGCCAGGGGCCTCCTACAGCTCTTGCTTTACAAGCCCAGGGACTGTGAAGTCCTCTGGCACTGTCTTCCCTTCTCAGCACCCTGAAACCATCACATTCCTGCATTCCAGAATAATTCGCAGAAGCCAGACCCTGAGCTGAGCAAGGAGCCACGCAGCCCTGAGGCTCAGGGCCAGCCATGGCCCCCCCTGCTTGCTCCATCTGTGTCTCTTTACCTAGGGCTGGGTCTGTGTGAATGTGTGCAGTGGAACTGTCCTAGGCGGGTGGCTGGTCCTGGAGCATATGCAGTATGGAACAGAGTTAATGTTTCACTGTGACATGAACTGTTTGGTAGCACCGGCAGGTGCATGTGTCGATCAGCAAGGTCACAATGGCAATGAGGAAAGTGCATTTATTCACTCACATCCTCCATGCATTTATCTCCAACAAATGTTTGTACCTGAGGAGGTTCCTCCAGTGTGACATCCATCACAGTCTTGCTTTGCATGGGCAGTGCTCAGGAGAAGCCGGAGGACAGGAGCTCATCAGCACTGCAGCAGGCTTCCTGGCCCTGACCCCGCCAAGCCCGTGCGTGGGAGGCACTGCCCTGGACTCTGCACTCTCCTACTCCCACCCACGGGGCCCTGGAAGGCAAGGTGGCAGTGGGAGCCCACTTTTCCTTGCCATCTTAATCGTGCGTTGAAAGGCAACGTTCCCCAGTGCCATCCTCCACCATGCGGCCACGCTGGCTTCGGCCCTTGCTCTCCTCGGCTAGGAAATGTTGCTGAGTGCGCTTTGTCTGCAGCTCCCCAACAGAAGTGGGAATCCCGGGCAGGCACATGCAGACCAGAACACGCTGCCCAGGCTCTGGGATGTGCAGCACTCAAACAAATTTGCTGCCTGTTCAGATCTGCCAGGTAGGAAGCTCCAGCTTGGCCCTAAGCCCTGAGGTCACCGTGGGGCTGATGTGGCAGGCTGAGTGCAGTAGATGCCAGCTAAAGGAGGTCAGAAGCCTGCCATGGGAAGAACAGGAAGCATTTTTCTTTCCAAAACAAGGAGGCAAGCAAGACATGAACACCGCAAGTACAGTACTTTTCAAATTCTGTCTTAAGAAGCAAGATAGCACAGTGTTCATTTTGCATGAGGGTGGCATTCTTCTGTGGGCACTGGGAGGCAATTGGAGGCCAATCTCTGGGGGGATCTGTGGATTCACACTTAGACAGCAGTGGGCTTTTCTTTGGTGTCTGTTTCTATCCATAGCTACCTATCTGCCTACTTATCTATCTTCTATCTGTCGTCTGTAGCTATCATCTATCATCTATCATTTACTGACCTGATCTACCTCTATCTCTGATCTACCTATCATCTACCTATTATCTATCACATCTATCTATCATTATCTATTGTCTGTTTCTCTGGAGTGACACTCTTGAAGGTAGGGCCATACTCACTGTAAGATTTGAATTTGAGGGGAAAATGCAGTTGTCTTTTCAGAAGCTGAGATGTCATCTGAGGTTTCCACCTTTGCTCCACTCTTTACTAAATGGAGCCCATTGTTCTGTGTCGCAGTCTCCATTCCCGAGGTCAATCCCATGATTTGCAGGTGACCGTTGGCTCCCTTTGCTTCTGGTCTTGCCCCTTCCTCAGGGCTCCTCCCTATGTTCTTCCCCTCTAAGAGTCCTCTGGGGAGGCATCTCCTCTGGGCACCTGCCCCTGATTCCAGGCTGATCAGAGCCCCCCACCCCACCTTGTGTTACCAGCTTGGTGTTGGCTGGGGTCTCACCACCCTGCTATCTGTAGAGAAGTGGCTCAGGTCCCATCACCCAGCTTCTCAGACCGCAAGTCAGTGCCTGCCCAAGATTTCTATGAATTTGTGGGGAGGGTTTTGTGTTCTTGAGGTCCCAGTTGGGCCAATTTCCAGCTGATGCCAAACTTTTCTTTTCTCTGAATGTTGTGGCTGTCATATCACCACTGTCTGACATCAGCTCTTAGAGCCAAGACCCTTCTCTTTGACCACTCCTTCCCAGGGAGCAGTGGCCCAGGTGCTGCCAGGAGCAGCAGGGTTTACTGAAGGTTTCTGGATCATGGGAGAAAGGAAGTGCTTTCAAAGCAGAGCTCTTAAACTGAGCACCCTGAATGCCATCAGCCAGGCTTATTTCCCTCCTTTTCTTTGCCTTCTTTCAGGAACTCAAGTTACCTTCCACAAAAAGCCAGTTCCCTCCCGTGAAGAATTCGGGCCAACCACTTAGAGTTCGTTTTGGTCCAACAGCAGCAAATCACAGCTGCCGACCTCCCCGTCTCTATAGTCAGGGACTCTCACCGAAGGCAGAGACCCCATCTTTTGACCTGTGTCCCCTGTGCCTGGCACAGGGACTCGTAAATGCTCAATACACCCACCAATTTCAAGGATGAACGACTGCAGGGAAGGGGACACAGGGAACCGGGCCTGTCAGGCCGCACAGCACAGCCTGATGCAGTCTTACTCACCAGGGTGACAGCTAGAGGAGGGGCCCCAGGCAGCCCATAGCCAGGTGACTGTGCTTCAGAGAGGCAGAGTCCTGCTGCTCAGCGACATTTCCTCACTCTCCTGTCACTTAGAACATACAGAGCGAACAACTCCTCCCACAAGGCTAGGACCTTTGGCTTACCTACTTAAAAATAGATCAGATCTTTCCTCTTGTCTCTGCTCAAAATATGTAATTTTTTCCAAGGACTACAGGGCAAAAATACTGAGGATATCAAATATTCATACCCCAGGATCTGCTTCATCCGGTTAACTGAGTCAAGAGGGACATTGGGAGGATCTCCAAGAGCCCACAGCTCTGGACCCTGGAGGAACTACAGTCCCTGTGGCTGGAATGCTGCACCCTGAGCACAGCCTGTCCCTGCTGTGGGCGGCCCATGGTGGGGCCGGACCCAAGTCAGCTGGTCACACCAAGGACAGATGTGCCTTCTGAGTGTGGCTGACGTTTCCCTGAGCAGCATACCTCTGGAAGAACATGCAGAGTTCTGCCCATCTGAAACCTAGAAGACCTTTGTATGTTCCCTTGAAACATTTGCACTGAAAAAGATGCCCATGAGTCAAATAGTCATAAATAAACGACCTGACTGCCCACTGTTCGGAAAACACACGATGCACTTTGTGAGTCTGTTTCCTTTTCTTGGTTTCATACTTCTTCCACAAAGAGAAGCTGGTGGGGTCTAGGGAACTGGATGCTGGCTGTGGGCATGGCAGGAGGGTTCCTGACAACTCTTTGTGGGTGCGGGAAGGCCCCCACAGAGCCCTGGAGTTCCAGGTCAGACTCAGCATGTGCTGGGGACACAGTCAGTGAATAGGCCTGGAGCCATTCGATCCCTCCGCATTCAACAAACACTTGCCAGGACCCTGTGCGCTGAGGCAGAACAGCAAAGGCAGGGTGGTGCCATGAGCTCAGAGCGCCGGCCTGGCAGGGAGCCAGGCAAGGAGCTCCTCCGTATGACCTCACAGCCCTCCCCGCCCTCACCAAAAGTTACGGTCCAGAAAGTCACAGTGAACTCTGAATTCAGGAATGCTGAATCACTGCCCATAGGGGACATGGAAGGGTAGGTCCTGTGAACACAGCATTTTTCTCAGCTCAATACAGAACATTGTTTTATGAGAGTTTTTGTTTACAGTCACCTTATTTAATACACGTTTTTGATTCATTAACTTTGAACGCATGACATCAGTCATGCAAGTTGAACCTGAAAGAAGCCCATGTAACACCTTTCTCCCCCAGCAGGCACAGTGTTCCAGAGCTGAGGACATCCAGTCAGCCTGCTGGCAGCCTGTGTGGGGGCCATTTTCAACAGTGAAAACCTCCCACGAAAAGCACAAATGTGAAAAACGTGGCACTAAACGGACCTCAGAGAGCACTTGTGTTCATAGTTGGAGAGCTGCAGCAAGCAGCAGACATCACTGGTTTGACCTGGGCTGGCAGCTTTCTCACAGGCACTCAGATGTTTCTCCACCTTGAGCACATCCACAAATGACCACAAAAGCAAGTATTGGTTTGGGGTTACAGATAAGTTTTAGAGTTCACAAATACAGTCTGAATAACAAGGATCAACTGTATACGTGTGTGTGTGTGTGTGTGTGTGTGTGTGTGTGTGTGTGTGTGTGTGTAACTCCGGGTGGGGGGGAATCCTGGGGCAAAATACCTTTAAAACCAAAATCAGTCAAAGGGGGAAATAAAGTGGGAGAAACCCATTTACTTCTTACAAGCAGTCCATTTCTGCTGTCCTGTGTCTCTTCCAATCGGCTACAGAAGAAGAGGGCCCCACCCAACCACTCTAGGCCAGGTAAGCCCTTGCTCACCCATGTAATTACCTATTGATGTGGAGATGGATACTTCTTTCCATCCCTTGGAAACATCTATCAATATGCAGATGCTCTAAAGCCAGTCTAGAGATTCTGGAAATATTGCAATTTTAACCCATAGCCCACCTCTCCAGAAAATCTTGCTTAACAATCTACTCATTCCCCATCTTCTGCAATGGCCCCTGTGTGGGAAAACTGGAGCATTGAAACCAAACTAATGACATACAATAGCAATAGCAATAAAATCATGACAATCCTCAAGCCAGAGGATTCAGCTAGGTTCAAAGTCCTATGCAGATTAAGCCCATCAATTGCCCACTCCACAGGCAGTAGCTGAAGAGGTAGGGAGTTCAGAGCAATCATCATGTGGCAGCTGCAGCCAGGAGGCGCATTCAGGCTACAAGGACTATAGAAGAAAATAAGCTTAAGGGCGATAAGATACATGTTTTAATGACATCAGCATAGGCAAATCTTGTCCATCAAATAGGATGCATGCAAGAGAGTGGTCCTGTGATAGGACAGTGGGAGGAATGGGATCCATCCTGGTCTAGTATACTAGACGTTCACCCTCCTCCCTGTGGGAATTACAGATGGCTCAGTAAGTAGGGCTACGGGAGGTACATGCACTGGCCATAAAGTTAAAACAAAACTTCCCCATAAGAAGCTATTACCTCCTGCACATTTTGGGTACACTACTATGATCTTTGGGTTCCACTCTGCTATTATTCCAGGAACACACATGAGGCCAGCTTACAGGCCTTTTCCCCAAGGTGCCAGAAGGGCCAGCTATCATTGATCCATGTGTCGAAATGTTCAGGGCCAAGTCCACTCAACAGTGTCTCCAGGGCTTAATGCAGTTGGGGCTGACAGCCATATCCTGGCCATACCCTGGCTTCAATAACTCTTCTTTGGTTTGTACATACAGTTGAATAGGAGAGGTAGCAATGTGTGTTAGCATGTCCATGGGGTTCAAGGCTCCTTTTCAGGGCTTCTCATTCAAACACAGTAGCACTGTCCATAAATGAACTGCTCAGCCCTGTAGATTATTGGTGTCTGACTTAAGGTGAGATTTCAACAAAACCATTATACCTCCCTATCATGCCTCCCCCAGTAGGGTTATATGTTACATGAAACTTCCACTTTATTCTTAATTGCTGCACTCATTTTTGTAACACATGTCCAGTAAAGTGAGCAATATAGTAATGCAGCCAAACCATTTGCTATTTCTTCCCTGTGGCCAAGTCCTGGACTACAAGTCTGTGACAAATTGTGGGACTGTAGAGGTATCCCTGTGAAAGGGCAGTGAAAAATCCATTGATGTCCTTCCCACACGAAGGAAAACTGTTCCTGACTTTCCTCTGCTATGTCAATAGAGAAGAATGCATTAGTAAGGTCCACAACATAATCATACCTCCCTAGTTCATGACTGTGTGTCCATAAGGGTTGCTGTAGGGGGGACAGCAGCATGCAAAGAGGGTGTGACTTTATTCAATTCCCTGCAGTTCACAGTCATATGCCAAGAGCCATCTGGCTTTCTCACTGGCCACACTGGGGAATTAAAAGGACTATGAGTGGGCTTTATGATGTCCACCTTCTCCACCTTCTATAGAGTTTCTCCAATTTCCTTGTGCCCCCAGGCAATTTATATGCTTAGTATTTGTCACTCGCCCAGTTATAGGCAGAGCTACAGGTGGGTGCTTAGCATGTCCCCTCAGAACTGCCTTTACCACACATACCCCCAGTCTGAACTCACCTTGCAGTGGTCTGTAACCACTGGCCCTGCAGGATCTCTACCCACAAAACATATTCAGGGATGGGAAAAATGTGCACAGTATACTCCTTTGCGGGTAAATGCCCTATCCCCAAAGGGATTTCGGCTTTCTTCATTATAATTGTCTTGCCACCATAGCCATCTATCACAGCAGGAGTCCTGGGAAAACACTCAGGGTTGCCATAAATCAGAGAACCCTCAGCTCCTGTGTCTACCAGTGCCAGGACACATTGTACATTCACAGGGGACCAATGAATTGCTAATTCTACATGTGGCCTCTGGTCCCCAGCATGTCCCCCAAGGTGGGGACTTTGACCCCCCCCCCAGTCAAACTTTGATGTCCAATCGTCCTGTGGGGGTGAGGGCCCAGGCAGAGCCTGAGTACTATCTCCCATGAAGTTTTGCAGGGACACAGGCTGGGCATGAGGCCTTGCCTCTGGTTTCCATGTCCTGGACCTCAGCGGCTGGAACTGCTGCTCTGGCTTTAATTGGTGCCATAGTTCTAACAAGATCCTATTGGGCTGCCCATCAAGTTTTTCTTTCACTATCCCTGCCTTTATCAGATCAACCCACATCTGGGTCCTCAAGACCTTCACGGGGCCCTTTGCACCTCTCCTTTCAGTTGAAGCCCATACTTCCTTCCACACTCTTATTGTTTCAACCTCCCCCAGATCTGCTGAAGTACGAGTAGCCTCACTTATGGGTTGCCCTATATGGGGGCAAGAATAGTGACTAGGGACCCAGAGATAGATGGAGCTGTAGGGAGCATCATATTTCTCATTCTTATGGTGAACAGCTCCTCATCAGGGCCCTGGGGGTCCATATTGTAGAGGATCATTTTCATGCCCAGCTCCTGTAACACCTGTTGGAGCTCTGCATACATTTTCCAGCTGGTGGATAAGTATAGTAAATCACCCTGATTAGGCCATCCTGTCCTGATGGCTGCTGTCACCCAATCCAGAAGCGCCTGATTCTCTGATGTATGAGGGACACTTTGCAACCACTGCCTGAGGGAAGGGTGAGTCGTCAGAGAAGCTAGTCTACTCATTTCAAAACTCGACATAACAATGTTTTCCACCCCCGTATCCCAGAGACATTAAAGCCACACAGGCAGAGTTAACAATGGCTTCTGCCAATCCTGGATGCTCATGTCCACCAGCTAATCCTGGGTACAGGGGCCGATCATGGAGTGCTCCACAACCTGGGGAGGGGGCAGCTCCCCCCCACAAGGAGTCTGTGGTTGTCGAGTTTTTATTTTCTTAATTACAACTGGGTGGGCCTTTAATATAGGAGAGGCTGGTGCCTCAGGCGGTGGCCTCAGCAGCAGATCAGCCCTTGGCCCCGCCCCCTCATCCTCTCCCAACATCTCCTTTACCATCTCTAGGGCTAAAGGCACTCCTCTTTCCACCCACTCCCCCTTGACGTCCTGCAAGGGGGATTCTCCGGCTGCCTCCTCCCTTGCTGCTAATGTATCTTCCAGGAGCGTGCCCGTCTTCTCAATAACTGTCTCTCTTTCTTAAGGGCATCCCATAGGTCACTGGCCCAGCTCCTCTAAGCTACATCGAGTGTGTCTTCCTCCTTGATAACACTTTCCAGGATCTCAAGGAAAAGATATCTCACAATCCCAGCTGCTACATGGCCACTCAGGGCCTCTAAACAGTCTTCTATCTGATGGAGGGCTGATTCCCCAGCTTCTGGTGTCTCTACAGTTCCCCAATTCTGGGGAAGGCCCCACCCCTCTAGGAGGTGTTTACCATAGACCAGTTCCCTCCTAGGGGTTCCCCAATTGGAAGCCCCACACATAGGGGTTTCCTGGGTGAAGCAGGACTCTCCACTGCTGCAGCCACTGTGGCCTCCCCACCATCCACGGGGTGGGAGGTGGTTCCAAGAATCTCTCTACCATCTCTAGGGGCAGTCTGCCCAAGGGTCACACCCATGTAGACAGATTTCATGTTCAGATTTCCTGCTGACTACTGCCAGGTGTAACTCTGGGGGGAAAATCTAGGGCAAAATACCTTTGAAACCAAAATCAGTCAAAGGGACAAATAAAGTGGGAGAAACCCATTTATTTCTTACAAACAGTCTACTTTTGCTCTCCCGTGTGTCTCACGACCTGGCTGTAGAAGAAGAGGCCCCCACCCAACCTCTCCAGTCCAGATAAGCCCTCGCTGGCCCTTGTAACTACATACTGATATGGAGATGGACTACTCTCCATCCCTTGGAAACACCCATTGTGTGGAGATGCACTAAAGCCAAGCAAGAGATTCTGGAAATATTGCAATTTTCCCCACAGTATATATGCATGGGTGTGCGTATGTACATGTGTGTGTATGCATGTCTGTGTATGTATGTGTGTATGTGCACATATGTGTATGTGTTCATGTATGCATGTGTGGATCTGGCATTATCAAAGTTGACTACACACACACAATATCAATGCACACCTGACTCCTATGTGCATAGGCATGTATGACAGGGCTGAGTTCCTTCTCCTTGGTCCTTGTCCCCTCCGCAACAAAGAATTGAAAGGCAGAGACACAATAGTGAAGCTAAGGGGAAGTTTTATTTGAATGCACTCCAGGGGAGGAGTGGGCCAGAGTCCAGTAGACAAAGGCTCTGAACTGTGAGGTGGAAGGACTGTGTATTGCAGTCTGACAAGGAGGGACCTCTTTGATTGACAAGGTGGGCCATATGACTGACAGGTCCATCCCTCTCAGTGAGCATGTCCTTTCCCATGATGAGGTGTGATCTGGGCTGTTCTTAATTCTTTTCAATCCCAATCCCTTTGGGATCTGGTTGGGAAGGAAATAACCTCCCTGCAAAGCATTTGCTGTCTTCATGGGGACCACATGCCTGGGCAGAGTTTGGGCAGCTTTTTCTTTGAACCTTATCTTTCCCTTTTCTGGCTGCTCATGTCTACCTTTCTCCTAACATTCCTAACATG